CTGACAACACTTGATCCATCTACCTGGAAGATTTCTGAGTGATACAGCAATGGCTTTGCTTAATTAGAGATGTCATAGCTATACATACAGAGTCTACTGAGCATGGAGGTCATACAGAAATAATGACATGATCATCATAAAAAGGAGAAAGAAGAAGACAAGAAATTAAATTGTTTATATTTCACAGATTTCACAATCTGTTTCTAGCTTAATATTTTGCTTGATTGAAAAAACAAAACCTAAAAACCAAACCAAAACAAAACCCAACACCAGAAACTCATGCAAACAACAAATAAGCACATCCCAGATTTATTAGAAAGTTAGTAAAACTTAGAGGGAAAAAATTTAGTGTTCAGTTAACTGGCATGTGTGTTCTTGATATGTGCATCCCAGCAGAGTACCCCTAGTGCTGATGTGTTTGTCACCTTCAGTATTTCCCACTAACTCTTATGGAAACTTCTAATAGGAAATGTTATGCTTAGTTTTTTAATAAGGCTTTACAAATCACACATGTAAATTGTTTAACATGGCATGATGGATGACAATGAGCATGTTATGGGCTGACTCTGCACCATATTTTTCACAGTGCTCATGAGCCCTACGCAGCATTCACTGTATGTGATTATCTGCCAGTGTGCAGTGGCTACGGAATTTCATTAAAAGCTCCATGCTTTTCATACTGGGAGAATAATACATGATCTGGGCTACTACAGATGGCTGTTTGCTGCAATGGTAAAAAAAAAATATTCAATATCTGAAGTTACTGGAACTTTGGAGCCAAAAGTTATGATTATACACACTATGAAGACGATGAAAGTAATTTTCATCAGGGTTTCCTCACCATGTGGTGTCAGTCAGAAGAGATATCAAAAAAATCACAAAAGATATGTGAACTATGAGATAACATAGCTGGTCTTATTGCTGTGAACTCCTGGGAATCCATGTGATGATATGGCAAGAAGGACATAAGACATTTTCATATTTTAATCAATAGGAAACTGCCTATTACAGTGATGATGGTCATATATTCACTAAATAAATTGTCCTTTGATTTCCTAAGGATGCTCTCCCAGGACAATGCATGGTCTATGTTAAACTTTCAAACACTCAGACTCATAAAAGGAATGAGACAGATTTATGTATGAGTTAGGGATCAAAATTTGGCCTAGTCACTGAAATGGAGAATATCTAAATTGAAGTACATGACATTTTCTCTGCATTTCACACCTGTATTTCAAATTGCTGTCATCAGAAAGCTTATTTATTGGTCAGGAAAATCTCTTTTGCCAGGAGCAAGAAGCGCAGGGGTGGCTGAGAAGACAGAAAAAAGATGTACTATGAATAACTGGTGCTACACTTCAGTGCTACAGGGAGTTGTAAAAGAGTTAATGGAGGGAAATGAAATGAGGAAGTCCAAGGAAAAAACCACAAGCTATTGCTCTCTCCATGCATATTAAATATACACAATGAAGATGGATTGCTCATAGCAGGGTTCTGTTACTAGAATATTTCCATATGATGTGTCCAAATGAAAAAATATAACTCAGAGCTGCAATTTCATAATAAAGTTTCTTTTTGCTTATTCTTCCTCCTCCCCAAAGAACATTTTATTTTTTCATACCATCAATATGGAAGACATACAAGAGATCAGGTTTCCAGAAAAAACCTCCTCTCTTTGCAGGCATCCTTAATAAACTGAAAATAATGACATTTGTGGCAGTACAAATGCATCAAGAGTAGAGAACATATTAATTAAGGCAGGTTCACAGAGTGGTAGTTTTTGCTGAAGCTGGCCATTTCTGTATGCTTTTATCCCTTATAACTGCCTGTTTTCCCAGGAGACATCTTATCAGGCAAATGTTGTTCTGGCATCCCAGAACATGACAGACTGTCATTAGATAAAGGAGAAGGTTAATAAAATAGAAATCCAGGTTACAAGCAATGTTTTAGCCAGAGGTGTCCCAGGGGTTGTGGGGAAGCAAACAGCAGACTAGTCAAATGCAGCAAATTACAGTCAGCAGAAGAGTGCCAAGTATCCAGCTCTTATTCTGTAATTTGCACATGCCAGCAGAATCTCCAATAATTCTTTTTGTCGAAATATTTGGACCGAGTTTCCTTTGGTGCACAGATTCCCACTTCAATAACCTGATAGTCAGGGAAGCACAGCACATTAGGAAAGGCTCCCTCAGAAGTTATTATGGGAGGATAGCATAAGCAGGGAGGGCTTTTTTCCCATTTCTTAAATTTCTTTTCTTAAAGCATTTTTAGAAGTGACTGGTAGGGCTTGTGGATATAAAATGAAATCAGAGCATGGGCCTAGGGTTGAGCAGGATCATTTCTCTAGTTCATCTCTGATTGAAGAGTTTTCTATTTTATTAGGTTGAAAAGTGATGCTGGCAACTGCAAAAATTTCTGCAAAGGAAATATCTCTTTCTGCTAGATACTGTTGAGACATACAGAAGTGACCATGGACCCCAGGCTTTTGAGTAAGATGGAAAATAAACATTTCAATGAATTAAGATGATGAGGAAAGGACACAGCTAAATTAATGGGTTGGAAGGTAAGATTCACTTTTTTTTTTTTTTTAAGAGATGATGGAGGAAGGTTAGGATGGAGGCAGAGAAACAATTCCAACTGTCATCTGTGTGACCTGAGCAATGCACTGCATTTTCTGGCATAGTTTTATTTTTTAAAATAAGGAGCATAGGCATGATTCTAATGCACGATTGGTAAGAGAAGATAGGAGGTGAATGGTTACAAGGAGAGGAGAAAATGAAATGACAAGGAGGCAACAAGGTTTTAAAAAATTGCAGTTGCACCTGTCAGGATTTTTTCCAGTCTCCCCAAGATGGCACAGAAACAAAAATCATTCTGCTGTCACTGCTACCTAACTTTGATACCCGTCCTAGTTAGAACAGCTGGGACCAATTCATCACTGGATGGGTGTAACCCAAACCTGTGTATTCTGTAGCCTTCCATGCCATTTCCCAGAAACTGTTATTGATAGAGCATTTACACCCTCTGCCCAGAGCAGCCTGACTCCTCAGGCTATAAACTAGGAGTTAAGAGGCCTGCGAGATAGGAAGATGTTCCTGTCCTCATGCCCTTTTATGGAATTCCCCGCTCTGAGGGAATGACTGAGCATTCCTGCCTGAACTGGAGAATATATAAACTTGGAGTTTTGGAACCTTTTCACCACTCGTGGGATCCAGAGGAAGACAGCAGACCACCGCTCTCAACCAGACTGAGACCACCACCCTCAACTGGACTGCAATCACCACTTTTGACCAGACTGCAACAGCTCTCCCACCAGCAGGTTTTTCCCCTCTCCCTTCACTTTGGACTCGGGGGGGGGCCAAGGAACACCACTTTGTTCATACCCCAGGGTGCTGGGTTATACATTTGGGTTTTGTGGGTTAAAACCAATTGTTTGTCTGTATAATTGTACTTATTGCATTATTTTATTAAATTGTTGTTCTGATTTATAATCTCTCGTTTGATTTGAGTTCATTTCCCCTGCTGGTTAACTTTTAAACCAGCACAATATCAATGTCACATACAGAAAAATGTGTAATACTTCTTTCCAAGGAGACTGATCCTGAAGACTCCAAAATTCATAGTCTGCATCAATGTTTTAATTCATCCTTTCTCATACTTTACACCTGTATTCATGGTCATAAATTAGTTAAACTTTGAGCACTGGTTGTCCACACTTTTAAAAAGTATGGAGTTTTTCCTCTTACATTGCTCTGTAAGTAATTAAATATTTTTAACCCCTGCCTTACCTTTATTTCTTCATTGCTGACTGTTTGTCACAACCTTGGGGCTGCTCTGTAGCTCACTTTTAAACTGATGATCATCTCTAGAAATCTATTAGTCCATGGTAATACCACTGATCCCATCGAGGTATTTCCATATTTTTCTGACTCCTATACAAAAGAAACAGGAATTGAAATGGAGGAAATATCTAAAATGGCTTTAAATTGTAAGAGAATAGGTTTGGATTAGATACTAGGAAGAAATTCTCTGCTGTCAGGGTGCTGAGGCCCTGGCACATGTTGCCCAGGGAAGCTGTGGCTGCCTCATCCCTGGAAGTGTTCAAGGCCAGGTTGGACAGGGCTTGGAGCAACCTGGGATAGTGGAAGGTGTCCCTGCCCATGGCAGGGGCTGGAACTGCATGATCTTTAAGATTCCTTCCAACCCAAACCATTCTGTGATTCTAAAAGACAGCAAACCAGACACTCCCTCCAAGTCTACCTTTTATAAAACTATCAAGTTTCTCTGCAAATTGAAGTTTTCATGGCAAGCTATTCAGCAGAGTGTTCAGACTGGCCTTCTGGGTATACTTACAGCTCTTGATTAGACCCCTTTATCTCAAAGAAGGAATCAAGTAAAGCTTAAGTGTTTCTCTTAATCAGCACTTCAGCACATTCTGGAAGGTCTGTGTAAAGAATTTTTTGTTTTGCCATAATTTACCTTGTTCCCTCTATTATTTCCAGGTATTGATTCTTTCCAGAAGAAAGAAAACATCGTCTATATTTAACTACTGTAAAATCATTTTGATCGGATATGCTGGTAGGAACTGGATATAAACAATGATATATATAAGGCAGTGAGGATCCATCTATATGGGATTTTCTGCTCTCAGTGGTAGTGCTAATTGACATTTCTTTGTTGCTGCTGCATTATCAGCCCTCTGCAAGAAGAGAAGTAGTACCATCATGTGGATTTGCTGCAGAGAGGAACATGCTGCAGGATGAAGACGCTGCCCAGTCATTTTTGCTTTATTTTTCTTTTATTACTGATTTTGTATTAGGCATGGAATAGCTCCTGGACAAGGCAAGTATTTATGCTGTGAAGGGTTCAGTTAAAGCCCAGTGCTTTTATTAGAGACTTGCAGTGCTTGGCTGTGGTGTATGGGCAGATGAGCAGGTTACTAGGTGGGGAACCTGTAGTTCAGCACCTACGTCACAGTCACTGGCCTTGAAGAAACCCTTCCTCTCAGCAACCCAGTGTATGGGTGAAGGTGTCAGTCTGCCTGCATACTGCTACATGGTTCTTGTTTTGAAGGTAAAGAAGCCATATAGAGAGCTACAGTAGCTATCACAGTGGAGGTTCATACCACAGCTTTTATTTTTATTTACCTTCGTCTCAGGTCTGATACTTAAATTCAAGCAGCTCTTTCTGAAACAAAAGCAATAAAAAAAATTTGAATCATATACGTCACAGAATTAAAAACCCATCCATAATAGCTACTGAATGCTACAGATGTGTGAACTTGGCCTGTCTGGGAGAAACATAAACTTTTCTATTAGCTAAGTTCGGAGGAGTTTAGCAGTGATTTGTTCACCGTCTCTAATATCTACAAATAGAGATTATTTTTCATGGCTTCATTACTTCATTACAATGGAAGAATGTTTAAGAGGATGCAACACCTAGAACTGAAGCTAGACAAGTAGAAATAACAGAATTTACTCATATCAAGGGGAAAAGCACAGAACATTCCTTGTAAATGAAAATCTTTCTCAAACCAAAAGCTTCGAAAGACTAAAATATAGGCATTAGTCTCAACTAAATGTCAAAATCATAGAATGGCTTGGATTGGAGTGGACCTTAAACATCATCTAATTCCAAAGCCCCTGACAGGGACAAGGACATCTTCACTAGACCAGGTTGTTCCAATATATTACTTCATGCAGATAATCAGATCCTAAAATCCTGTGTCCAATGCTATATGGGAAGTTAGAGATTGTACTTGTGATTATTATTTTTGTCTCTCCCTTTCTTTGAGGTATGTGTTAGTGAAATCACTTTGTGGACAAGGTTTAGAAATATTTTACATTCATAATAACTGTTTCTGCATCATTCCTCAAATCCTGAATGACTTTCATATAGATTTTAAGCCCCTTGACCTAAAGACATGGTTTGCTGAGCAGATGTATTTGCCAGTACGAAACAGATGTCTTGTCCTTTGAAGACACTTTATTTTAGCATGAATGTAATAATTTAAAATCATAAGGCCAGCTTTAAGAGTTTAACAGTTTTCCATCTGTCTCTTGCACCAGTATATTCCCTTTAATTTCCCCCAAATCTTTTTGAACTCCAGTTTATGGAAACACTTTTAATCTTTTGAGATTATCAGGGCATATTTACTGGTATACACATGATAATTTGACACAAGAGACTTCTTGAGTTCTGAAATGTCTTCAATCTTTATTTTGGAAAATTAGATCTTAAATATCACCTAGAAAGACACAGAAAAGCAAAATGTCCTGGTTGCATTGCTTGCAAAATTAGTTTGTGTATTGTCTGGAAAGATGAACACTAAGAGTTATTTGCTCCAACTTAGGTGTTGCTACAAAATGCAGTGCTATGTAGATATATTCAAACTAGCTCTAAGTAAATTAGCTCGTGAAGCAACAAGGACACTTCAGCTAAGTAGGATGTTTTAGCACAGCAGAGAACTGAGCAAAATGTGCTGTTTAATTCCTCTGATACCCAGTCCAGTCCACTGACAGTTTTTAAGACTGCTCAGGAATCGCATCATTTGAATAATATATTACCTAGCAAGTGTTGTACAACCTGCTCAGACTCAGATCACCCACTTCTGTTCCACAGTTACAGCTGTCAGAGGTTCAATAACCACAAGTACAGCATAATGTGAAATTTGGGCTTTATACACAGAGCCAACAAAATCTTGATGGAGACCATCCGTCATTGTATTCCCTTCTGGGGCAAAATGTACTATACTTTGTGTTTCTAAAGAAGAAGAAAACATGGCAATGCAAATTTGTAAACAGTTGAATGAATGAAAACCTTATCAAAGCTGTTATTTTTTTCACACTGTTTTTCAGACAGTTTTCCATCAGAAGATGTCATTTGAATTAAACTTTGCTGTTTTGTGATTTAAGGAGAGAAAAAAACTCATTAATTTATAAGTATTTGTTCACAAAGATCCCATAAAAATGAGAAATCTTTTAAAACAATGCTATTAGAACAAAATAAAAGGATACTTCAAATTAGATGCTACTCACTTCCAAGATTCTCTTTTATCTGTAAGTGCAGCCTGCAGGTTTAAAATCCTTGCAGAAAAGAATTCATAATAGAATAGCTTCCTGTGTGAATCTTATCATGGGCTACACTACTCCATGCACCTAAACTCATTTGGCAAGAAGTGTTTTGAAAAGCCTCGGCATTGGCATGGCACTGATAAAAATGAATGACTTACAAAATCATATTAACACTCATAAGGAGGAAATTAAGAAAGTTCTTGATTAAAAACCTGGTTTTAATTGACTAGGGTCTAAATGTTAGCTTAAAGCATGCTGATACCTTTGTGAACATTATCAGAGTACTAATGTAGATAAAAGTGACATTTAGGGTGGAAATCAACTTCAGAGACATAGCGCTTGCCTAAACAGAAGCATCTCATGTCACGCGAGATTTCCTGGAATGGCATAGTGTCTCTATATGGACATCCTGAATACTCTAGGACATATCAGGTTTAAACAAATGAGTTACTTTCCTAAAATGCAGTAGCTTGATTCAGCTGACAGTCTGGGCATGTAGTATTATTGCCTGACATTCCAATTCTAGCTGATACTCCAAAAGGATATGGTTTTCCTACAAACACCATGGCATGCCACACACTCCTGTGCAGATTCCTTGCATATCCTTCAATGTCCCTGGTGGTGACGGATACCTGCATGTGGGCATCTGCATCTAGGTGTCTTCAGTGCAGGGATACACCTACGAGCCTGCAGCAGCTGTAGGGCAGGTGAAACAGCCCAGGTGTCTCATACATCAACACAATTGCGTTCAGGCAGTCAGCGTGTGTCACAAAACACCTCAGTGTAGATGCTGACATGTAGATGTCAATACCTGAGGCAAGCTATGAGCTTCTATTGTAGTCAGTGGAGATCTCAGATTCAGCTCAGTTCTTCAAATGAAGACATTTAGCAGTATTCAAGAGGACAAAGGTGTACCAGTGGCTGACACAGGACCTACACAAGACCTGTACCTTCTGAAGAGGGAGCTGGAGATCTGATTTAGTGCCTAAAATGACATTAGACCTCTAGTTAATGCAGTCTATGCAGCCTAGATGGCCTTTCAGCTTTCCTTGAATAAAATACCTTGCGTAAAATTCACCTACATAAGCACAGATATCTCATGCCCCTGAGATGTCTTGAAATGTCCTACTCACCTTCACGGGCTGCTTCATTGGGGCACAAGTTTTCCAGAAGTCCTGCTCACATCCACTTTTGAAAATGACTGGTATTTTAGGGTGTTATCGTGGTTTAACCCCAGTTCACAACTAAGCCCCACAGAGCTTCTCACTTGCTTTTCCCCAGTGGGGTGGGGAAGACAATTGGAAACATAAAAGTGAGAAAATGTGTGGGTTTAGATAAAGACAGTTTAATAGGTAAAGCAAAGCACAGCACACAAACAAGACAAACAAGGAGTTAATGCACCACTTCCCATGAACAGGCAAGTGTTGAGCCATGCACAAGAAAGCAGGGCTCCATCACACGCAATGGTTACTTGGGAATTCAAACGCTGTAATTCCAAACATTCTTCTTCCCCGTACATTCTTATGTGCTGGACATGATGACATATGGTCTGGGATATTCCTTGGGTCATTTGGGGTCAGCTGTCCCATCTGTGTCCCCTTTCCAACTCCTTGTGCACCCCCAGACTCCTCACTGCTGGGGTGAGGAGCAGAAAAGGCCTTGGTGTTGTGTAAGCCCTGATCAGCAACAACAAAAACATCCCTGTGTTATCAAGACTGTTTCCAGCACAAACTCCAAACACAGCCCCACACCAGCTACTGTGAAGAAAAGTAACTGTACCCCAGCAAAAAAGCAGCACAGGTGGCCAGACCCCTATGTCTAATTCACTGCTCCATTCAGACATCTGTATTTCGGGTCTGCTAATTTCAAATTGACTCAACCCTAAGGGATCAGTTCAGGTGCCTAAAAATTTTGTTGTTGTTTGAGTTACCCTGTGGCATCCACATAACCTCCAAGTGCCAGTCACAAGAGTCGAGGTCCTGTGTCATATCTGGTCACTCTGTGAATGTTTCCAAATGGTACGAAGCACCTCTGCTCTAATAACTGATAAGAAGTACAATGGACTTTATCTGGACATCCAGAAGAACCTGAAAACCAAACATAAAGCACATGGAAAGCCAAAGCAAGGAAAATTCCCAGCCAGAACCTGCATCTCCTGAGGCTCCTCCAGTCCTGGACATTTTTATGACCCTAAGATAATTAACAAGCTACTGCAGATATTGCAGATACACATCTCTAACTTTCATTGCATTTAGTTAAAAACATTTCCTGACTTTTCTCAGTCTTGTGGCAAAGTGCCAACTCCAGCTGAACAAAAATATGCTCCTAGTGGCAAGGATGCGACTTTCAGAACTTGCAGGTTTGTTTCCTTGGTGAGATTAGTGCCACGTTACTGCTCAAAGCAGAAAAAGTTAATGAGCCAGGAGCTCCCTGTGGGGATATTGTAATATGAGGTATATCCTTAGCATATCTTTAAAGGTGCATATCTTTAGTCCAGCAGGACTGAGGTCTTGTAACATATTCTGAGCACGGATATGACCTGGACAGTACAGGCATATATTATTACTTACAGCTGATGTTACTAATAAAAAATTATTCAATTTAAATGTTACCATCCTTTAGTCTGTCGCATAAAGTCTCTAATTTAACATCCTCAACATATGCAATTCTGCATGTAATATATACTTTCTCAGTGCAGGTCCTTCCAGAGGTCTGTGGTTTGCTGTGTTGTATAAACACAGATTCTATTTCCTTAGGAGAGTTAAGCAGAAAGTTCTTTCCTTTCCTATTCTACAAACAGGTTAAGCATAAACTGAAGGTTCAATGAAATCAAACTAAGCGTTCATTTAAATGCTCTATTGAACTGCAGCACATTTTAATTTCTCAAGCTCTGTTGATGATGTCTCATGATGCACTGGCCTTTTGATCCATAACAAAGGGTCTTTTATATAGGATATTATATAAAATAAATACACACACAATAATGTTTAGGGAAGATTATAGGAATAGACTAAACATGAATATGCTTCCTGAATATGTTCCCAGGCTTCAATATTTCCTGAGAATTGCACAATCTCTGCACATTTAGTAATTTCATTGTAATATTGTTCTGTTCAGTTTTCATTAGAGCATGTGTAAAACTTGTGGCATTCACAACATGCACTGTGATAGTCAAACTCTCCATAGCTAATTGTGTTTGTTGAGAAAAATCACTTTTGCCTTTGATTTGAACCTACCACACAATAAGTTTAATAGGTGACCCCCAGTTCTTCCTATACTGAAGGAGATAGGAAGCAATAATCTCTTATTCACTCTATCCTTATTATTCATTAATTTTTGTTTTCTTCAAGAGTAACTTTTTACATGATGAAAAGTCAAAGGTAACTTGGTCCTACATAACTTAGTTGCTTTTAGCAGGGAAGTCAGTCCATACGAGGAATCACCCATTTCAGTTTTCTCTGTGTTTTCCCGGCTTTATTATATCCTTTCTGAGCTACTACACACAAAATGTCTCTCTCTGTTTTGGGACAGTCAGCTACAGACAAAATATAAATAAGACTATTACTATTAACAATTGGCATAAAATCCTACTGAAAGATCAGGTTAGGATTTTCTTTTAAAAATCTGGTAGCAGAAAAAGATTTTTATGGTTTTTAATTTGTACACAGTTGACATCCTTTAGAGTTCTTGCCCATTCTAATATCTGAGACAAGTGAAGTTCACCCACTGTCAGCAAACCGCAGCCTTCACATTATGTGTGCTTAACAATATCTGCATTTCAGCTTTGGTTTGAAAGACCTGACTGCTCACATCCATTACAGGAGCCAGTCATTCAGGCACTGACTCTGTTCCCAAGCATAATGCTGGAAGATTTGGTTTATCAGAGACATTTGTGTGCATCTCACAGATACTGCAAATATCCCAGGGGTTACAGAATGCAATGCACAATGTGACATCACAAAAGCACAGGGTAAAATGCTCAGGCAACTGACCCTTCAGTATTTGTCTCCTGAAAATGTAGCTGGGAAAGGGAACTATTATGCTAATCCACTCTGCTCTGTTTGTCTCTGGGGTGGAGGGTAATTTAGTTCTCATGATCATTTAGTTACTGCTGAGATTTGTCAAAGATATTAAAATTAGTTAAAAATCAGTTCTGTTTTGTGAACAAATATTGTTTTACTTTCTCTTCCTGTTTACTTTTTATCACTTTGCCAAAATAAAGCAAGAAGAAAAAATCCAAAATCATCCTGGAAACACATTTTCAAAGTCATGAAAAAGCTAATGGTTAAGGATACTGTTCCATGCCAGATTTCCTCCAGACTACAATATTAACTAGGATTTAATAGGATATTGAATAGCTATCACACCAAGAGAGAAGAAACTGCATACTAGGAAAAGACAAAGACTGGAAAGTATGTAGGGTCATAAGAGATGAGTGATTGAATCTGACCTTCCATTATAGTTATGTGGAAAAACCAGTAAGAGTATTTTTTGAAAGTGTTAATGAAGTAAGAACAGAAAGGTGATTTTCACCAGGGTCATGACATTGGTGAGACTAGTAATGGAATATAATATAAAGTAGTAATATAAAATGAGTTTTAAAGTAACACTGAAATCCTGTAGAACATGAAGCAGAGCAATCATTTTTTTCCAGGCTGAAAAATTATATTTTATGGTAAAAGTTGTTTCTCTGATGAACAAAAAATACTGTGATTTCATCTAATTTATCTGCTCGAAGAAGAAGATGCCATGGCGTTGAGATTTTCTAGTAGTCCAGACCTATGTTTTCTAAGTTGCTTGGAAGCCAGGATTTTGTTTACAAAGAAGTCAGACTGCAGGTGATGGGAGGGGAATGACATATGCCTTAGTCTCACTCTGATAAGGAGCTGGGACAGTGCCAGAGTGCCGTATAGACAGAGCTTAAACATTGGCTTCATTGCAGAATACATAAACCTCTGCTGGGAGGAAACACCAGATATAAAATGGGTCTTTAATCTTGCAGACAAATTCCAATTAGGAATGCACTACACACTTTTTACACTAGGCATGATTAATCACTGGAACAACCTACTAGTAGAATTGATGAATTCACCCTTTCTTGACGCCTTTGAGTCAAGACTGGATGCACTCCTAGAATTTATGTGATAGCCAAACACATGTTATAGTCAAGTACAATACTTATTATTGAGGTTAATATTGTGGATAATAGAGTAAATTTTAATGGATCTTTTTTCATACAGTAGAGGTAAAGTTAGTGGCCTTTTCTGCCTTAGAATTCTTTAAGCTGATAAAGTCTCTTATTATGGACAACACTGCTCTGTTCTACACGTGATCATCCTCCCCAAGTTCTTATCTTGCCCTTTCCCAGTGTTGTCTGTGACACAGTTCCTATTTGAAATTTGAGCTCCTGAAATCTTTTAAAGTTCCTTCATTACCAAATAAATGAATTATTGAATCTAATAGGAAGTTACTAGATTAATAAGATCAGAGATCCTAAATACTTAATTGAACTTGAGTCCAAACACATTCCAACAAGCATTAAACGAGCCAAAGTCAGATAAAATACTTAATATTAATCAGTAAGACTCATTTTATGTAATCTTTGTTTTGTAGCAGCTAGTTCCTTATGAGAGCACAAAACTGGGAAGGAGTTCCTGGGTCACCAAATCCTATTTCTCAATATCTTCAAGAAGTATTTGAATAGCTCTTTCCATAAACTAATCAAACTTCATTTTCAGAAAACAAACTCCATTGTCCTAATTCTATTTTTTTCCCCAGAATCTGATCCATTGTCTTACCTCTAATTTTTCTTATTCCAAAATCTGATGACTAGATACTCACCTTGCAATTTTCAGTCCTCAAGGTCTGTAAATAACTGATTGTTTCCTACCCACATTTAGCCTACTTAGAACTTGTACCTTTCTGGAGTGGAGATGCCAATACATTTAGGCCAAGTAACCATATAACATTTAGTCTTTGTCCTCCTAAGCCAAACTCTTTTACTCACTCCATTTAAAGACAGGTTCTTCATTCATAACATTGCTGTATTGGCCTTCATTAATCTTTCAGATAGAATTGGTCTTTCTTAATTGTGGATGACAGTGATGCTTTAACTGAGGTCTCAGGAGGGCTGTAGACGATAGCAAGATCTCTCTACATCTCCTGAAAACAGACAAGTTTTGCATTAGCCTTTTTCACAGCTACATGACATCAGCGGCTTGCAGCCATCCAGTCACTATGTAAGACATCCAAATCCTTTTACTTTTCATTAATTGTGACTGATAAATTTCTACCTAAAGGTAGAAATTCTTGTTATTGGTCCCTAAGGGCTCAAGTCTGTACTTTGTGCTATTGAGTTTTTTTTTCTTTTTTTGCTACTCCAGCTATCACAGTCAGACACTTCTCTCGACAGTATATCTGTTTTTTCCTTAGTATAGCCAATGCTGGATATCTAGTTTGTATTAACAAATTTCAAGACTTTTTTTTGTTCTAAACATGCTAATGTTCACTGCTCTGTGTTATTGGTTCTGAATCTTCACTCAGGGCAATGAATGGTGGATGATCAGCGTCAGTAAAAGTACTACCTGAAGGAATGCACTTGTAATGATATCTACTATATAAGTAATTATTGACTGATAGTGTTTGAATAATACTTATACAAGGATTTCTGCTAGGTGCTTAAAAAGGATAAGAAATGAGAATAAGTGGCTTCACAGGGATCTGCAGATTACCTTCCAGTCTCACCTGAGGGTAGCTCACCATGATCATTGCTTGTCTGACTGGAGGCTTCAGAGGAGTCACAAGTATAGGTAATACACACAATTCTGTTTTCAGATTAAATTTCCTCTTTATAATCTGGTAATATATGTTTATTTTATGTATAATCTTATAATTTATTTGCATAATTATTAAAATATTGAGTAAACACTTCAAACACAGGACAGTACATATAACTTAAAATATAGTTGTATCTTTACTGGATGTAACTACTGCTAGTTAACTGGTCCTGGACAGTTAACATAGAGCATACAAATACTCAGTCAAAAACAAAGGCTGTATAATACCCATTGTAACATGAAGAGGATGCACTTACCATGTCTATCTGTAGCCAAATTCTGCCTATATTACATATCAGAATATAGATAAGTGCATTTTTCAAATTCTTTGGAGACTATAGAACTTAAACACAAAAGACACATTACCAGTTTCTTTGGAAGCACTGAAATATTTGATTTCAGTGACTGGATCTTTGCCACAAGGTAAATTATTAATGGTTACTTGGCATCTAATTATTTCCAAATGTTTTTATTGCCATATATTAAATTAGGGGAGACAAGAAAAGAAAGAGTACAGTTTGAATTGACTGCCAAATTTTAAATGAGATTGTTTCTCTTGAGACTGTGGTGATTGGAACTTGCATTAGCAGCTCATTGAAACACATATATTTCTTCTGACATATGTCATAGTTAGATATTTTTATTGATGCCAAAATGCTTTTCTGTTTTAAAGTATGACCACACAAGACTCCTTTCTGGAAATTGTTTATATTGTAATTATGCATTTTGCAACACTCTAAATACAGATACTGTTGCATTAATGGATGGTAATATTGTGGGAGTTTTGTTCTATTGTTATTTGTTTTGCAAAAATAGAACTGCATTATATGTGATTTTCTTTCCACTTACAAAATGTTTCATTATTCAGCAGAATAATGAATAATAATCTCTTTCAATATTTCTGTTGTGATACAAAACTATACTGTTATGGTAATGCTTGCTTTTTGTCCTTCATAGAATAAAGCTGCAAATATTTGACTTTGACCTATAGATTGCAGTGGAATAAATACTAACTATGCCTGAAGAAAAACTGTAATATATCTAAAAAGGCTGAGGTCCAAATCTTCAAAGGCTTTAAGATATCTCATTAACATTTTGATTTGTGTTTTCAAGAAAAAAACAAAACAAAACCAATTCACATAACTCTGTATATTCTGAAATCCTTATCCTCTAAAGAACTAAAAGTTAGAAAAAGTAAGAGAAGATCTTAGGTTTTAAGAATATAACCTTGAGAAGAACTTCGTTCAGTACTTTTGGGTCAAGCCTAAGATTGGAGTTTGAACATATTCCTTTGTACTTTTGGTGCATCTAGACAATCTTTGTTTTAGTCTGAATTGAACTGACAAAGGATTTGGGTGCAAACCAACTTAAACAGCAAGTTGCAGGTGTCTGTTAGCACAGTGCTGTACCCTCCTTCATTGTCAATCAGTAGAGATTATTAGACATTATTAGTCCTACTATTAATACTATTATTAATAGTCCTACAATTAATACTGCAATAAAAATGTTTGCTCAATTTCTAGTTTGAAGCTAGTTTAGACCAGACTATCTTGAAGCAAAAGAGTAAGCTCCTAACTGCCTGGAAAATTTGCAGCTTTGTGTCTTTAGAAGGTAACCTTGATCTATACAGGATGGCTTGAAAATGAGATACAAATCCACATGACTCAAAGTGTGGGATTCATTTCACATAACCCCAGATGCCCATTCTGTACTTATATGCCTTTGAGGTATTCTTATAGACTCTTGACATAGACAGTGGTAACAAAAGACATTTCTAGGTTGCAAACAATCACATCCAAAAATAGTCATCCAAAATAGGTTAGATGAATTCTAGATTTCACAATTTTTCTTCATTGACTATAAAGGGAGGAAGGAGAACATCCCTCTGAGGAATACTTAGTGATGCTCAACATTTGTGGGCAAATCCCCAAACTGAGACCCTCCTGACTATCCAGCTGAATGGTTCTTTAGGCTACACAAACACTATTGACAAGATCTTTTCTGCTGATAGATGTTTATGCTCTTAGTGTCCATGAACCCACCTAGCTTAGACACTTAAATTTAGGTGTCTTAATCCTGAGCTTAGTTAAGTTATAGGGATTTGGTACAGTTGCCTATAAAACAGGCACCTAATACCATTTGAGGTATGCTGGAGTATCCCAAAAATCACAGAATTGTGGAATGTCCTGGAGGGATCCACAAGGATCATAAATTCCAAGCCCCGGCTGTGCGCAATACAGCTAAAAAAATATCACACCATGCATCTGAATCTGCATGGGACTAGCAGGAGAGACAAAAGGCCTGCAGAAGGACCCATGTCCTTCTGTCCCATAAGGTCTCCAGCTGACAAAATAGCCCACAACATTTCAAATAGCAGCAGATGCCGCAGCTTAAGTCGCACCCTGGGTGTCAGAATCTCACCTACCCGTGTCTGGCGAGATCAACCACTCCAGTGACTGTTTTTATAAAAAAGACGTGCAAAAAGATAGAAACTTTGCAATAGAAACTTTCTTTGGGAAAGAAAGACTGAAAGACCAAAATCTGGAATACAATAGAATTGCCATTCTGTTGTAGAGTCACCTCAGATGATTTATTTTGGAGAGGAGATCTGGGAGATGTTGGGAGAAGTTTCTGTGGAGGGATGGTTCAGTGTTTCAGTTTAAGTATAGCAGTATAACTTAATAACAAAGGATTGGACAAGAAAAGGCACAGTGATAACAAGTGACAATTTGCAAGTCATGGTTCAGGTTCCAGCAGTCATAACATTTAAGAAACAACACTATAATAGGGTTGGTCTTATGTATAGGTGTTGCTTGTTTTTAATGTCTTTACTGAGCCCAGGTTGTTATCCTTTATTTCTCACCTGTAAGATTAGAAGCATGTATCTTGAATGAAACAACATCTAATGGCATACCTCCAGCAAATGGCACTTTGGGAAAAACGCACTCAAGAGTTCCCTAAAAAATAAAAACATCAAGATTAACTTGTACTTCACAAGTTTAATTTCCACTGCAATTACTTCAATGGCTGTTCCCCCTTGGTCAAGTCAAGCACAGGCATTAGTCTTTCCAAGGTGTTGCCTCCTGGTTTTCACACATCTGATTTCGTTAAAGAGCTATGTAGTTTCCAGTGTCAAACCAGGACAGCTTGCACTGCTGTCAGCTGTGCTCCTTCTCAGAACAGGGAATCAATAACTGCTGACTTTTTATGTGTGGGGATTTCACTGCCCTTATCCTTTCACAGCTTGTGTTAAGTTCTGCTGGGGATGAGCAGCCTGATATAAAACTTTCCATTCAGATGAGCAGATTTGACGGATTTGTCTACTTATTAATAGACTAAGTTCAGCAGAATTTAAGATGCAAATTTATTCTTGGCCTATTTTCCATTTTGCACTTTCCATCTCGGTTTCCTCCCCTGTGCTTTTTCCCTGGTTGTTTACATTCCCTCATCTCCTTTGTTCCGTACCAATAACATTAAGAATTGTAATCTTTTAATCTCCCATAGCTCACTAGATTACCTTTGCAGTGAGGGAAGGTGACAGTGAGCCTGAGAGCCTGTGACCTTTCCTCCCCACCTTGTCCTTGTGGGAGGATTGATAATGGCACCCCAAAGGGAAGAGCCAGGCATGCCTTCCCTTCATCAGGTAGGGCAGGCAGAGACCACACTATGATAGGAGAGAGAATAAACTCCTGGCATGGGGCAGGGAAAATAGCGACAAGCCATCTAAACCTTGATGGTGACTCTAGTGGCGGCCATTTTGCAGTGAGGGCAGGTCACCATGGCAGACATTTTGTGAGGAGCAATGGCCACGCCAGCAGCCATCTTGTCCGTGCTCAGGGGGGAAAATTAATAGCGCTGGAGGTGGAGGGTGTGTCTATGCTGGCTACCACCAGACCTTCTGTTCTAGTATGACCAAGCGCTGAAAATAGATCAGTTTTGTCTAGATTCAGTTGTCTTTTTAGATACGGCAAGAGAGACAAAAGCCTGAGGGGCACAGGAATGTAGTCCTGAGGAGGGAACTGTGAGGGCTGCTATTGTCCTCAAAGGATAGCAAGAGAGAGAATCATTGAATCGTAGAATCATTAAGTTTGGAAAAGACCTCCAAGATCACCAAGTCCAACTTTTGACCTAATACCACCATGGCCACTAAACTATATGGCACAGTGCCATGTCTGCTTGTTTATTTAACACTTCCAGGGATGGTGACTCCACCCTTCCCCTGGGCACCCTGTTCCTGTGCTTAACCTCTCTTTCAGTGAGGAAATTTTTCCTCATATCCAACCTGAACCTACCCTGGTGCAACTTGACACCATTTCCCCTTGTCTAGTTGCCTGGGAGAAGAGGTTGGTCTGCAGAGATGTGCCCTGCCAGCATCTCCTGCTCCCTGAAGTCCCATTGCAGGAGTCTGGCAGCTCTTCCATGCCAGGGATCTAATGGGGGCTGCAGGCGCTTGCTGTGTGGGGCCCTCTGCTGCTGGAGTCCTCCAGATATGGCAGCTGGATCATTGTTTTTCTGTGGCAGGGTGCAGAAGCTGGGAGTCCTTCTCCTGCCTCTATCTTGTCAGCCGTGTGAGGAGCAAAACAAGCTGAGCTCTGCCTTCCCCTCCCAGCAGGACTGGTGCTGCTGAGCCGATCAGGATGTACCTCACAGGTCTGAGTCTGGGCTGGTCTGGTTAGTTTTGTTGATGCATGGATCAGAAGGCCATAGGATGTTGTCATGGACATTCAGCCTTACAAAGGGACACAGATTGAGGCACTTCCCTCTCTCCTCATTCACATTTAAATGAGATGGAACACATATAGTTTTAGGAAATAATAAAACACCGAAGCTCAGTTAAAAAACTAGTTACTGTTGGGAAGTGATGGGAAACTGCTGATGCTGCAAGGCCTGGACAGGGTACTGGCAGGGAGATGCCAGAAATCTTGATCCACCCAAGCATGTGCAGTCTGGTAGCCAGGAGGATTCCCCATCCACAGTCGTCTGAGTCCAGAAGCAGGATTGAGTCCTGCAGCATGGTCTGGAGGAGGGATTTTGTTAATCACTCTGAAAATTTTTGGAAAATTAAAAAAAGCAACACTGAAACTGGACTGTAGCCTGAAATGTTATAACAAAATTTCTTCTACGAAAGAGGGGTCTTTGGCATCAATCTATCCTAAAGACTCTTTATGCCTATTTTTTTTTCCTTCCTGTGACTCAGATACCTTCCTTTTGTTGTCAGCATGCAGTGTCCCTCTTTATCCCATAAAGTCAATAGGATGTGGTTGAGCAAACAAGTTACCATAATTCAGAATTACAAGGTTTTTCTTTGTTTCTCTTTTAGGTTACTTGAGTGCTGCCACTGATTTTACAAGAACATCTTGACTCTAGTGAGGATTTTTGAGACAAATAAAACTCTTGTTGCAAAATGCTCTCAAAATACCTAGAGACATTATGTGTTCTCCACTACTATGATATAGCATCAGCATCATACAAAGCTTCATTGTTTCTATTTTTGTCAGAGAATTGACAATTTCAGATTTACTTGTGTGGTTTCCTGATTGAGATGCAATTTTACATCAGCTTCTGCAATTTTTCTGTGAATGTTTTCTGATGCTCCAAGGTGCTCAAGCTGCTTATGTGACACAGACCCAGCCACGTTCAGTCTGTTATGGGATTTTCCCCCTCCCGGCCATAGGGCTGAAGATCACAACTTGATTGATTAAGTGTAGTTTCCATGGTGGTAGCAGCACTGTGGTGTAGAAACCACCACTCTAGAGTACAGCTAAAATAATTTTCAAAATGCCTTTTCACATTTTCCAAGCTATTTCCTGTAGACTAATGAAAAACAATGGTTACCCATAAGGAAGAAGACACATATAACTAGTATTTGCTGAAATTCTTCATGTCAGGATAATTGCCTACCGCTACTCTCAATGTCAGGGTACCTGTTCACTTAGTACAACTGTTGTAACATCTGAGGGTCATCTAAACTACTCTTCAAAGGTTTTTTTTTTACCATCCAAAGTTCTTGAAGAATGCAAATGTTTCCCAATAACCAGAGTATTTTAGCTTCAGTGTTCTTTCCTGGCCAAATAATGAGGTCAAGCAGGCTTTGTCCTTAATGGACAGATTTTTTATGCCTCATTTATGCTTTGAGATGGATCAAACAAAATGGAGAATAAGTATTGTGACTGTCCTTTCTTCCCTTGATTGCAATCACTCTAGCTCTTTGGAGTGCTTGAGGTATATTTTTCTAAGTTGTTGGAAAGGAGTTTAATTGCTCGTGCTTTATTTAATGCATGCTGGGTCATGCAATTGCTGTTAAGTAGGAATGCATGTGTATACTCTCATATAAATAAATAGCACTTTTTAAAATCTCCCAACACTCAGTTTTTTTAATCAACAACTGAGGAGCTTTTTAAAAATTTATTACCTTTGTACATTTCTTTTTGTTCTGTAAAAATGTTACCTTTTTGAAAAATCACATTGAAAAGAAATGTAACATTCTCCTTCAGGTCTGAATAACCTCCTTTTACCCATCAAACCTAAGGACCATTATTTTCTTCTACGTGCTAGTCAAAGAGAGGAGACAAAGCAAAAATAAAATGCCTGAGTTCTGAAAATGTCTTAGGTTTTGGAATTTCTTAATGTTGTATTTCATCTTAAATAAAAATCCTATTTTTTCTCCCTGCAATTTAGCCATTTAAACATGATCGCAGACATATTTTTTCAGACTCTTTTTTTGACACAACCCAAGCTATTGGCATAAGAAGACAATTCTGCATTTTCTGATTAAGTAGCTGCAAATCCAATATAATTTTCTTTCATTTTAATCTTTTGGTCTGTAGTAACTCACATTTGTTCTTATCCTGAGGAAAGTGAAGCATATTTCTGGAATTCAAATCTTGATCTACCAGAGGAAAGAATTTGCCTTAATGTGAGTGGAAATGTTATGGTGGCTCATAGTTCTCATTTTTACTTTATGATTCATGGTAAAATACAAATCACTCAAAGGAAAAGAAATTTTTTATTCTTGCTGGAGCATTTTAACTCAAGCAAAGTCGAAAGATAAATTAAAGTACCACTTACACACCGACAAAGTCTTTTCCATACAATAACTAGAGTTCTCCTTCAGAAAGTGGGAAGTCCAATAACAGAAGGGGAGCCCCTTGCCTCATGGGAATAGACTGATGCCCCTGACCCTGGAAGGGAGTTTCCTAAGCTTCTCTGGGATGAGGTGTGGGAAGAGGTGAAAGAAAGAGTGAAATTAAGTCTGGTTTTTAGCTACTTTTGGGGACTTTTTTCTCACAGAAATTATTCAAGGGCAAAAGCATTATTCCTCCTCAGACTCCATCTCTGACTTATTACTTCTTTTGAGTAAAAATTTTCAATATTTTCAAATGAAATCTGACAATAGATCAGGACAATAAAAACAGTATTCATCTGCTGTAAATAATAATAAAAAATATCACTTGGTTAACTCTGTCTCTTTTTTTTTGAGTATTTTTTTCCTCCCTCCTCACAATTCGGAGGAACCTACTTTTCTATCATTCTAAGAAGATTGTTTCCTCAGGTGGAAAACAACAAAGTTTAAAAACTCACCATGGTCCTTAGTCTTGTGAAATAGCCTGATTATAAAGTTGTGGTGTCCTCACTATCAGCTGAACTGAACCATGACATGGCAGCTTTGTACACAGACAGACACTGAAAACAGCTTCCTTTTGTGAAGAGAATAGGAAGATTTTGATTCATTTGTCACCTTAACTGAAAAAATAATGAAAGCATTGGGACAAGGAATTTGGACTGCTGAGACTGAGAAAGAAAGAAGAAATGAACTCTACAGTGTGCCATGGGCTCCAAACCCACAAGGTTCATAATGCCTAACTCAAAGATCCTACCTAATACCAATCTGTGAAATGGAACCTGTGAGATGTCATTTGCAGGGAAAATAATTTTTTATATGAAAAAAAACCCATAACTCTTGTTCATTAATTGCATGTGCAGAGCAAACACAGGACAAAAATAAATAGATCCTGTCATACCTGAAATAGGAAAAGGGAGGAGGTGATGGCAGGATAGAAGAGAAAAAGTGATACATAAGACATGACATGAAAGCCAAAGTCAGATAAAGTGAAAGACCAAAATAAGAAAGAACAGTGACACAAAGTCATGGCACAATCTTAACAAGCCAATGTCAGGATAAAGGATCACGGATGTTTTCAAGCTGTCTGCAATTTCCTTCAATAAATTGGCTTTAAAAATTTTATAGCGTTTCCCCCAGGAAGGTCTGCAGCCCTATTAAGATGTATGGTACTGGTTAGCCACAGGTTCCAAGTTCCACTACAATGTCCTTTTCAGTTCAGAGGAAAGGATTTCTTCTATTAGAAATTATCGTTAATAACAAGATGCCTGTCAGTTGACCTTTCTCGGCAAAAATATCACTTGTAAAATCTTTCGGAAAAATCTGACATATGTCTCAAATATATCATGTGAATTTTCATTCTGGGGCCAAAACCTCATCTTCAGCTACATGTTCATAATTCTCATCAACATCAGTGGAATCTTAGTGCAAATCCAAGGGCAAAATTTGTCCTCTGGCCTTCCAAAGGGTCTGAAGTTGTATGTGAAATTTTAGGTTTCTGCGTTCTACATTCTACATCATAGAATCATAGATATATTGGTTGGATTAACTCTTGGAAGTCTATAGTCCAACTTTTGACTCAGGGAAGGAGTTTTGCTAACAGTGGATCAGATATGTGTTGTCTTCAAAACTTCCAAGTGTGGAGACTGCACAAACTCTCTGGACAAACTTTTGCAGTGTGGCACTGCCCATTGATGAAGAAAACCTCACTCCTTGTCCTTGTCCTTGTCCTTGTCCTTGTCCTTGTCCTTGTCCTTGTCTTTCTCCTTCTCCTTCTCCTTCTCCTTCTCCTTCTCCTTCTCCTTCTCCTTCTCCTTCTCCTTCTCCTTCTCCTTCTCCTTCTCCTCTCTTCTTCTCCTGACATGTAGTAGAGTTAAGAAAAAGCCTAAAATTTAACTACTTATTTACATAGCATAGCAGCATAGTTTTCCTTTGCTAGTAAGATAAACAAGGGTTTATTTTGGAAACCACAAGTTTTAACTGAGCTGGGCTGTTGATATTGGGAAAGCCAATGAAAATGTAAGACACAATGCTTTAAAATCTATCTGTAAAGCATTTAAAATGCTTGATTTGTAGTGTTAGCTTTGACCGCAAAGGTTTAACTCTCTTTGAGATAAGAGATCTGAATTTAGTTGTCAACATGCAATTGTTTATGGGAGCACTAGGAATGGGATTTTACTGCCTGAACGTAGATGTTTTGTGCCCTTTGTGGTGCCCGAGGTTACCTAAGGCACCTGTACATTACAAATTATATACTGGGGGGAACCTATAGAGTGATTCAGCTCAGTCTAAAGCAAAGATCAGGTGTCCATAGGTAAGTGTCTATAGGTACAACATACATCTTACCTCTTTCTGCAGTCAATGGAACTTTCAGTGATCAATTCTGTTGTAGGCACATAGTTGCCCTGCACATTTGAGGTGCCCAAGGGATGCCTGAGCTCTTTGCATGGGCTTGGAAAGTATGGATACCCATATCCTCCCGATCTGGCAGATGGAAAACAGGTGGAATATCCGAGGGCATCTAATATAAGCAGAAGCCTGCTGATTTTGGC